CAGTAGAACCAGTAGAACCAGTAGACCCAGTCCCCCTTCCCCAGACTGACCTGCCGGGTCCAGGACCTCCTCGATGACGGGGGGCAGCCGGAGTCCGTCCATGGTGGAGCTGCTGCAGACGGGTCGGCGGGTCGGAGCTCTGAGGGCGGGACGAGTCAGCCGGCGCGGCCCGCGGACGTCCTCACGCTCCGGGCAGAGGCGGCCGCTGCAGCCCCTTCATCCTCCTGGAGCCCAGACAGAGACAGAACCGAGTCGGGTCGGCGGGTCGATACGAGTCGGTTGTACAGAGCTGCTGCAGAGCTTTAATCACCTCCCAGTTCCCAGGAGCTGCTCCGCTGTTCAGCACAGTTAACCCCGCAGGCGCCGACAGGCAGGGTTCTGCTGCAGCATCAGAACCAGAACCACATACAGGAGGCAGAACTCCACACACTGAATACACTACTGATATCAGCTCTCACTTCAGTCTCTGGTCATCGTCAGGTTCAGGTTCTGTCTCTAAGAGGGGTCCAGACCCTGGAGTCGGTCCAGTTTACTTTCACTTTCAGTCGTTTTCAGTCTGTTTTGGTTTGAAGTCAGCTGTTGGGTTTGTTTCCTGTCGTCACTCTTTAGTCTGTAGCTGCTGTTGTCAGTAGCTTCAGTCCCTGCAGTCAGTTTGTTTCCAGTCTCTGTCTTCAGTCTCCCTGTTCATCCTTTTCCTGGCTTCCTGTCTCCTCTGTCCAGTCTGTGGCCTCCTGAACACCAACCATCCTGTATTTTCAGTCTAAATGACGTCTGTCACATCGACTGCCTCCTCACATGATGAACACATGAGCCCACGTCACCTCCTCATTCATCAGCCTCTGTAATACACATGTCATGGTGTTATTGGGGCTGCGTCAGAGTCGTTCCTGTAGAGCTGCAGCTCTGCCTGTTTCCTGCACATGAACCTGCAGTGAAGCTTTGAGCTGACGGCTAATGAAGCTAACGGACGTGATGATGAGCTGCTGTTTCCTCTCATGACCTTCGTCTCAGCTTCCCCCTGATGTGAAGCCTGTTCATGCAACACTGCTGGTAGTAACACTGCTGTAACACTCATGTAACGCTCCTGTAAAGCTGCTGTAACGCTGCTGTAACGCTCCTGTAACGCTGCTGTAACGCTGCTGTAACATGCAGAACAAAGCGGTTACCTGATGCAGAGATCCGGTGTTGAGCGCTGCAGACCTCCTCCTCCTCCTCCTCCTGCTCTTCCTCCTGCTGTCCTATATTTCCTCCTCCTCCTCGGTGATGCAGAGCGACGTCACTACATGCTACAGACAGGCTCGGCCATGATGTGAATCCACAATGAAGCTGCATGACGTGATTTATTAACCGTTTGCCTGCAGAGGAAGGACAGGTGTGCTGCTGCTGCTGCAGTCACGACCAGCTCAGAACACGTTAGTCTGCACGGTGGGCACCAATTAACTGGTAATTAACTGGCTTATGATTAAAACACTGCCAGAAAAACCCAAATGTATTAAGATTCTGTAACAAATCGATGGAAAACTCAGCTTAGGACATAAAGTCACAGAAAAACAGCCACAAAGACACAAACACCAGACACACAACAAGAAGAATGATATTAAATACAACAAGGAGATGCAAAGAAACAAGGCTAACAGCTAGGCAGAGCTAAGCTAACAGTTTGTAAGAGCTAAGCTAACAATCTGTCAGAGCTAAGCTAACAGTTTGTTAGAGCTTAGCTAGAAGCTTGTCAGACCTAAGCTAACAGTATGTCAGAGCTAAGCCGACAGCTCGCTAGAGCTAAGCTAACAGTTTGTCAGAGCTAAGCTAACAGCTTGTTAGAGCTAAGCTAACAATCTCTCACAGCAAAG